CTGTCATTCTTCCCCATCACACTAGACGACCCCATTTGGCAGTCATGAGTGGTTTGTCATAACACTGTCACCAAGTGTGACTCTTGAACACCTCTCTGATCTATGTTGGCATATCGTGACGTCGGGTATCTCGCTATCTATATTTACATTTCAACTTTTCTCAATGAAAGATCAATATTGCTATCGTGATTAAAGTTCGCAAATGTCTAATTATAGGGTTTATATTTTTATGCATGATGCTCTGAAAGAGGCAATTTTTTAAAGTTTGAATAGAATATTGTATTGTAAAATCAATGAATTCAAAATTCCTTCTAAGACAATATGTTTGAAAATTTATTGGCTATCAACACAGTTTATATATTTGTCAAGCAATGATTAGTTCATCTGATTTAAATTTGATAAATTAATTGTTTATTGTATCCGCAATTTGTGTACCACTTCTGCTTCGAGGCATTAGCGGAGCATTTACAACCTACAAATTTGTGGATTTATTGGAGAATTCTGTCCTTTATAAGGTCAATCTCGAGCTTTATTGAAACATTTTCTAGCTTCATTAAGGAGTAAAGTAAGATATAACGTGTAGATACAGAGCTTAATCTCGTTCTTCACAAATTATTTTCAAAGCATTGAAAACACGGTCCCCCCCCCCTTCCACCCCCAAACAAAAAACTCTGCGCAGGTTCAAGACAAAATTATTTCATATATTCATGTATTACGTGACGAAACTTTGGCATGCAACATGATTGCTCAATTTCGTCTCATGAATTATATCGTGCCGGGTAGTTTCTCTTTCTCTCTCTGATGAATATAATATTTTTGACATTACAGTTTTGCCAGTTTTATCGTCAATACCAAATGGAAGAATCGTGCAGTATCGATGAAATATTTATTGGGAAAGCATGATAATTATGTTCATAATATATAATAATTATAGACTATAATTTGTTGAATTGCATTCACAAAAATCTTAAGTAATGGATAAAGTTCTTTAATAAAATGTTTGCCAATTATTATGAACTTAATATTACCTTTGATATGAGCCGAAGAAGGAAGACTAACAAATATTTAACTTTTAGGCAGAAACTTCGAACGACAGCGAAATGATTTTTACCACAAAGTTTGGAACTGCGTTGTGGGAAGCACTAAAAACTTCCCTTTGTGTTAGGAAGTTGAGTGTCGTAGGTTGTTGAAACTTCTTAACTCTTTCTATGATACTTTAGTTATTGGGTGATGTTGGAAGTGGAATATCTGTGAGTGTGACTGATGTTCCTACTTTTGCCGAAGATTGTACTGGTCTTCCCATTTGGTTGATGTTCGAGATGTGAGTTATTCATATTTTTTGGTTCTATGAGAGAGTTAAAGACTGGATTAAAGTTGATCTTCATGAGTTTTGTCCAGACGATGAGTTTTCTAGGAAGTTGCAGCTTCATGCTAGGTAAATGATGATTTAGAAATGGAATGATATAAATGGAACAACGGTGTATATAAAAGTGTGTCAGTGACTATATGGTTTCCAACGGTGAGTATATCGTGTCCGACGGTGAGTATATCGTGTCCGACGGCGAGTATATCGTGTCCGACGGCGAGTATATCGTGTCCGACGGCGAGTATATCGTGTCCGACGGCGAGTATATCGTGTCCGACGGCGAGTATATCGTGTCCGACGGCGAGTATATCGTGTCCGACGGCGAGTATATCGTGTCCGACGGCGAGTATATCGTGTCCGACGGCGAGTATATCGTGTCCGACGGCGAGTATATCGTGTCCGACGGCGAGTATATCGTGTCCGACGGCGAGTATATCGTGTCCGACGGCGAGTATATCGTGTCCGACGGCGAGTATATCGTGTCCGACGGCGAGTATATCGTGTCCGACGGCGAGTATATCGTGTCCGACGGCGAGTATATCGTGTCCGACGGCGAGTATATCGTGTCCGACGGCGAGTATATCGTGTCCGACGGCGAGTATATCGTGTCCGACGGCGAGTATATCGTGTCCGACGGCGAGTATATCGTGTCCGACGGCGAGTATATCGTGTCCGACGGCGAGTATATCGTGTCCGACGGCGAGTATATCGTGTCCGACGGCGAGTATATCGTGTCCGACGGCGAGTATATCGTGTCCGACGGCGAGTATATCGTGTCCGACGGCGAGTATATCGTGTCCGACGGCGAGTATATCGTGTCCGACGGCGAGTATATCGTGTCCGACGGCGAGTATATCGTGTCCGACGGCGAGTATATCGTGTCCGACGGCGAGTATATCGTGTCCGACGGCGAGTATATCGTGTCCGACGGCGAGTATATCGTGCCCGACGGCGAGTATATCGTGCCCGACGGCGAGTATATCGTGCCCGACGGCGAGTATATCGTGCCCGACGGCGAGTATATCGTGCCCGACGGCGAGTATATCGTGTCCGACGGCGAGTATATCGTGTCCGACGGCGAGTATATCGTGTCCGACGGCGAGTATATCGTGTCCGACGGCGAGTATATCGTGTCCGACGGCGAGTATATCGTGTCCGACGGCGAGTATATCGTGTCCGACGGCGAGTATATCGTGTCCGACGGCGAGTATATCGTGTCCGACGGCGAGTAAATCGTGTCCGACGGCGAGTATATCGTGTCCGACGGCGAGTATATCGTGTCCGACGGTGAGTAAATCGTGTCCGACGGCGAGTAAATCGTGTCCGACGGCCCCCGACAGGAATTAATAACAAAGTCGACGATTGGCGCTCCGCCGCGAGCAACAACTGGATCTGCCGCGTTGTCGCACTAACGACCCTTCAGACTTGCAGTCGCGCACTTACCGAGAACGAACGAGCGAACACGAGCGGCGGAATGAATTAACTCGTCAGTAATTGCCCCGGGGCACGGCTCTCGGCCGGACCACTTTGTCAACCAGAACAAATAACGTCATAAAGTGACCTGTCGAGCCCTCCGTCACACGCCGCAATGAGGCCGTAGTGGCGACCCCTGCCAGCGCTGGGGTGGGGGGGGGGGTGCAGGTAAGGTGGGGATGGGGGGCTAGTTGAGCTGGGGGGTGGGGGGCCTAGTTAAGCTGGGGGAGGGGCTGAGCTGAGCTGGGGGAGGGGGGGGCTAGTTGAGCTGGGGGGAGGGGGGCTAGTTGAGCTGGGGGGAGGGGGGCTAGTCGAGCTGGGGGAGTAAGGCTAGTCGAGCTGGGGGAGTAAGGCTAGTTGAGCTGGGGGAGTAAGGCTAATTGAGCTGGGGGAGAGGGGGGGGGTTAGTTGAGTTGGGGGTTGGGTGGGGGAGTTTTGGAGGCCTGAGGTGGGCGTCTGAGGAAAGTGGAGCGCTGTTTTAGGTAGAGGTGGTGGTCTTAGAGGTCTGAAACAATGCCTGTAAATCAGAGGTATGAACTTCTGTTCAGAAAATATATTTAAGCGTTGCTGAGTAAAGTGTTCACTCGGGTCTTTTGACATTCATCAGTAGGTTAAGTGTTTTCTACAGAACTCAGGAAATAAATGGAACTACATCCTGTAAATACAAAATTGTAACATATACATGCCTGTAATTAAGCTGAAAATTGACGATTTCATAAAGGCGTTGAACTATTTAGACAGTTTGGTGAGGTTTGGTAAAATCATATTACGGAGACGACAAAGAGGTGACTATACAAGGTGTTTTCCCATGCCTAGAGCGAGCAACGTCTAACCCTGTTAAGCCAGGTTATAGTAAGCGTCAGTAGCGGCACAGCAGCAGCTCTTGAAGCCTCTCATTTCCACCATTCACCTGAGGTTGCCACAAATCTTCCAGTAATATACAAATGATCTGGAACATCCAATGAAGGAGGCTCTTGGGGGTTGGGGGAGATATGACATGCACGGGAAAGTGGTTCTAGCTTACAAACACCATAAGGAACATTAACTATGGCAACGCCCCCCCCCCCATTAATGGCCATACATGTCAACAACTTCGCTACAGGAGGTAACTGTGTGCTCACCCACACAGTTACCATGTAGGGTGAGCAACTCCAAAGCATAAGACATGCTACTCTAATTTTTATATTTACCCCTATGATAGGAAATTTAAAATGAACAGGTTTTGATGAATAAATTCCCAGCAAGATGATGAGGTTCAAACTACTCTCACATCCTGTTCAATATAACGTACTCATATATATTTACTCTCATAACACTCAACCGAAATATTACTTATCATTCTGGCTGATAAACATTCACCTGTTCACATGAAATATACATAAAACCTATACACACATACATATACTCACCACGCCTCACTTACTCATTACGCCTGTACCCACCACGGCTGCACTCACTGTCGGAAATCCGACACACATGTAACATTCTATAAGTTTGGTAATAGCTAACTAAAGAAAATGAGAGTTTTTTCGTGACGTCATCACAACAGACCCACATATACATCACGTATATATTTCAGCTTTCACAATAATTCCTTAAAACACAGTCTAGTGTTTAAACTTAATAAAATAGTATTGACTAGGAGTGAATATAAATAAACCAGAAAATATAGCTTGCTTCCCTAAGTCTTTGAAATAAACTCATAATATTAGGAATATTATTGGAACACGGTTTGGGGGAGGGAGCAGAGCAAGTCAGCTCACACACACAGATAATAACAATGGGACAGGAGGAAAAATGTCTCCCTGAGGTTCGCATTCGCGGCACTGCAGAGGTTAATAGAGACCGCCCAATACAGCCACAGCAACCTCTACATCAACCATGAGGAGTATTGTATCCGGTAAACCAGAGTATTTGATTGTATTGGCCATAATAATTGTGTGCACGCTTGCCGGTTGTGATATACCAGCAACCCAAAACATAGGTAAGCCTGGATTTTATGCATACCATTGATTCCTTATTATATGACACATTTGTGAATGCAGTTTAGTTCTCTGTAATTTATACACAGGCGTGATTCAAGGGAGGAAGGTACGGAGAAGGTGAGCTGGCCAACATGAACTGTGAGGCTTTAATAACCTAGCTGCTCCACAGACGCCATATGAGTGCCAGCGGCCATTGCATGGCACCCCGGACCACATGTGTCACCAAGGCATCTAATATAAATAAAGCCGCACCCTCCACGCCTGCGCCCTCCACGCCTGCGCCCTCCACGCCTGCACCCTCCACGCCTGCACCCTCCACGCCTGCACCTCACCACGGCTGCACCCCACCACGGCTGCACCCCACCACGGCTGCACCCACCACGCCTGCACCCTCCACGCCTGCACCTCACCACGGCTGCACCCTCCACGCCTGCACCCTCCACGCCTGCACCCTCCACGCCTGCACCCTCCACGCCTGCACCCACCGCGGCTGCACCCCACCGCGGCTGCACCCCACCGCGGCTGCACCCCACCGCGGCTGCACCCCACCGCGGCTGCACCCCACCGCGGCTGCACCCCACCGCGGCTGCACCCCACCGCGGCTGCACCCCACCGCGGCTGCACCCCACCGCGGCTGCACCCCACCGCGGCTGCACCCCACCGCGGCTGCACCCCACCGCGGCTGCACCCCACCGCGGCTGCACCCCACCGCGGCTGCACCCCACCGCGGCTGCACCCCACCGCGGCTGCACCCCACCGCGGCTGCACCCCACCGCGGCTGCACCCCACCGCGGCTGCACCCCACCGCGGCTGCACCCCACCACGGCTGCACCCCACCACGGCTGCACCCCACCACGGCTGCACCCCAACACGGCTGCACCCCAACACGGCTGCACCCCAACACGGATGCACCCCAACACGGATGCACACACCACGGCTGCACCACACCACGGCTGCACCACACCACGGATGCTCACGCCACTGATGCTCACGCCACGGATGCTCACGCCACGGATGCTCACGCCACAGATGCACCACACCACGGCTGCACCACACCACGGCTGCACCACACCACGGCTGCACCACACCACGGCTGCACCACACCACGGCTGCACCACACCACGGCTGCACCACACCACGGCTGCACCACACCACGGCTGCACCACACCACGCCTGCTCACACCATGGATGCTAACACCACGGCTGCACCACACCACGGCTGGTCACACCATGGATGCTTACACCATGGCTGCACCACACCACGGCTGCTCACACCACGGCTGCTCACACCACGGCTGCTCACACTGCTGCACCACACCACAGCTGCTCACACCACGGCTGCACCACACCACGGCTGCACCACACCATGGATGCTTACGCCACGGCTGCTCACATCACGGCTGCACCACACCACGGCTGCTCACACCACGGCTGCTCACATCACAGCTGCACCACATCACGGCTGCTCACAGCACGGCTGCTCACACAGCTGCACCACACCACGGCTGCTCACACCACGGCTGCACCACACCACGGCTGCACCACACCACGGCTGCACCACACCACGGCTGCACCACACCACGGCTGCACCACACCACGGCTGCATCACACCACGGCTGCATCACACCACGGCTGCACCACACCATGGATGCACCACACCACGGATGCTCACACCACGCCTGCTCACACCATGGATGCTCACACCACGGCTGCACCACACCACGGCTGCACCACACCATGGATGCTCACAAGACGGCTGCACCACACCACGGCTGCACCACACCACGGCTGCACCACACACCGGCTGAACCACACCACGGCTGAACCACACCACGGCTGAACCACACCATGGATGCTCACACCACGGCTGCACCACACCACGGCTGCACCACACCACGGCTGCACCACACACCGGCTGAACCACACCACGGCTGAACCACACCACGGCTGAACCACACCACGGCTGAACCACACCACGGCTGCACCACACCACGGCTGTACCACACCCCGTCTGCTCACACCACGGCTGCGCCACACCACGGATGCTCACACCACGGCTGCACCACACCACGGCTGCACCACACCACGGCTGCACCACACCACGGCTGCACCACACCACGGCTGCACCACACCCCGTCTGCTCACACCACGGATGCTCACACCACGGCTCCACAACACTACGGCTGCACCACACCACGGCTGCACCAACCATGACTACACTCGTCACACTAGAGATAAAAACTAATCCAGTTTAACGTCATTGTTAAATTTACACTTAAAGTAATCTCTTAGAGCTCAAATCATGCAGTCGATTACCTCCTGAGCTCCATAACTGTCACCTCTATACACCGAGGCCAACGTTTCCTTCCTTCCGTCTTCACAAACGTTTCTTTCCGTCCATTGTCACAAACGTATTCCAAGTGTTGCCAAACATTTCCGCGCCCCGAAGCCCTGAATAAACGTTCCCGGAGGTCCTCCAACGGTAGGGTTTGATCTTAACTCTTTCTTCAATTGACGAGACGCCAGAAGACCGATTGGCCTTTTGGTGAATAGATTCGAGACCTTTGTATATATACAGTGGAGTGTGCGCGGCGGTGAAGCTTCATTTAGCTCCAACAGGCGGCTTGTAAAACACAGGAACGGTGCTCCATTCATGGAGGCTCTCGACTTCGATTTCTTTTGTGTTGTGTAAATGATGGGATAGGATTGCACTGTGTAAATGATGATATTGGTGCATTGTGTAAATGATGATATTGGTGCATTGTGTAAATGATGATAGGGGAACATTGAGCAAATGGCGGCAGTGTGACGCCTGTGGTGAAAATAAGGACGTGAGCGGTAAATATATTTTCCAAACATATATGACCTATTTTAGGAGGCGAATTCAATATTCCACATTATCGTGTTGTATATTCTATTTGTGAAACTTTATGTTGCCGATTCACACATCAACTGGGTTGCTTTGAGACCAGCATGATTTATTCGAATACCTAAAAATCCTAAAAATAGAATCTACATTATCCCTCAAAATATTTGTTTTGGGAATTTTTCCAAGTACCGAGTTTCCCGATGGTGCATTCAAGCTTGTTAATCCGCTCCAAGACAAAGGTTCAATCAGAGTATGTGGATTCCATTCTAATGGAAACGCCATTCAAAAATACAAACCATGAACCAAGAGCGAAAATGCAGACTCAAATGATTTATTGTCAAGTGAAATTATTCAATGTTTGTAATAATTTCTTGTTAAAAAAAAGAGTGATGAAGAATCTATAGAACGCCATTGCAGTTTTAAAATACGTGAACCTTTTGAAAGGGACGGCAGTTGGGGACTATTAAGAACGTTAATGATGTTAGCAGTTTACATTAGAGATAACTAGACGTTATTATTAAAAAAATATATGGAAAAAGCAGTGTAAATATCACTGGAAGGGTTAGGTAATATCGGGGGGGGGGGGGGAGGGGGGAAGGGGGCGGGGTCATATCAGGAGAAGGCATGGGTAAAATCAGGGGAAGGATTAGATAATATCAGGGGAAGGGTTGGGAATATCAGGGGAAGGATGGGGTAATGTAAGCGGAAGGATGGGGTAATATCAGGGGAAGGATTGGGTAATATCAGGGGAAGGATTGGGTAATATCAGGAAAAGGATTGGGTAATATCAGGGGAAGGATTGGGTAATATCAGGGGAAGGGTTGGGTAATATCAGGGGATGGGAATGATAATATGATCAAAAGGGTAGGATAATATCACGGGAAAGATTGGGTAATATCAATTAAAAGATAGAATTATATCAGGGGGAAGGGTAGGGTAATATTAAACGAAACGTAGCAGTAATATCAAGGGAAAGTGTAGCGGTAATATCAGGGGAAAGTGTTGTGTAAAATAATATCTTGGTGGATGGGCTGGATAATATCAATCTAGATTAGATAGTTAATCCATATCGAGCGAGGATTGAGTAACATCAAGGTTAAGAACAGGTAATCATTAAAAGAAGGACAATGTAATATAAAGGATAAATAAGAGTAATACACGAATAAAATCATATTTGGGGAAACGTAGTAACGTATTATTAAAAAAAAGGATATGCTAAAAACTTCTTCTCATCCTTCGCGTGCGACTATTCACGTCTCTCACTGACTCGCTACTCACTAATATAAAAATTCGCCAACCGGCGTTGCAGCGTTCTGTCTAGCTGTTGCATTGTTGACTATAGTGGCGAGGTCCAAGCTCCTCGAGCAGGTGTCCAGTCCGCTAGTGAATTTTACCTCTGTCAGAGCCAGAGTGTCGTCGCTGTACGCCGCTGTAAACAGGTGGATTAGCACTTTGCCGTTTGTCCTAGATCAATGTATTTCAGAAATGATTTGAACTCGTAATTTCTCATATGTTCTGGTGTAACGATTCGTCACAGCATCATTCTTCTTTCAGTCACATTTCACCCACATATGAGCATATTTTAAGGTATAATGAGCATCTAATGAATATTTTTAAGATGTTTGCTTAATCTAGATGCTCGTCTCAAACTGGTTTCTTGTGGGGACTGTTGTTAAACTCACTGGTCATGTCGTAGGGAAAGCAAAGAACTGCGTCTTGTGGATAACTCTTTTAAACATTTTTGGTTAAATATACACATGAACAAAGTCGAAGGAGTGACGGGTGAAGTGATGGGTGACAATAAAGCACAGGATAAAGGGATAGGACCAATTAAGAATAGGGTAGGTGTGGATAGGACCAATCCAACACAGGGGAAGGGAACAGATCGAATCAAGCATTGCGTAAGAGATTGAGTAAGACTGGTACTCTGAGTGGGAGGGAAGACTTACGAACCTTACCTTTTTTGGAGGTTAATATTTATTACAAATTGTTTATAAATGCAAAGGAATTGATTAGAGAATGTTTCTTTGAAAGAAATCTTCAGTTGGTAATTGGGAGGCCGCGAGTGACTTATTACTCCTCCAGTAAAGTATTCAGCTGGAGATCTTTCATGAATAATGTGTGTATTGAAATAGCCAAACTGTGTGAAGGAAAAGTGGACTCACTCAAAAGTTCTGCATGGAGAATGTGGTTAATGGAGTAATTAAGGTGGTTTGACTGGGAATGTTGAAGAATAGAGGTATTAGGAGGCGATGACGCAACTGGGGGGACAGACGCCAGTTGCGTCCGGTCAGGTTTTGATCTGACGCAGAACATCAGCTCTGCGTCAGACCAATCCTTGTTTTCAGAGGGATTTCTCTCGGTCGTACACTGAGATAAGCCACAGTGTTGTATTCACAGGGTTGCAAGGAAGGGTAGAGTTCACTGATAGCCTGCTGAGCCGTTTCTGAGTGAGTCCAGTTTTCCTAGGGATTTATATATGTGTCACAGGCTGACAAAGGCAGTGCTGGAGTGCACAGTTCCAGTGTTCGATAAAGAGCTATGTTGGGACCAGAACCGTTTAGGTGATAAGATATAAGTTTGTTTTCCTTCTGAATGCGTTGATTTATAGGCAATTAATTATGTAACGTCGCGTGTGGATTTATAAATATAACTGTCATCATCTTGCTTGGATTTTTCTCTAGTCCTTGAATTCCAATTGCTTCAAGTAAATGCCTTATTCCCTTAGACAATAATAAAATACTTGACAGCCAGCTTGACAAAGACCTCGGTAGAGACGTCATTACCTGATGATGTTTGAGGAGATAATGACGTCTCTACCGTATTCTCCATACCCACCACTGGTCTCAGATCCTATAAGAACGAAGTTGAACCGCTGATATGTTTCCTTTGTGCTTGTTTACTGTCCCTCTTTCTCTTTCGCGCCGGCGTCTGTATGGCCAGCAGACGGGGGTAATACACGTGGCTGCACAGGTGGATCCACAAGTATAGTCCCACGCCATTGGTCTGCATTTCTCCACTGGCGAAGTGTGATTCCCTCCGGTCGACCAACAAAGGCAGTAATATTGCGGTCCGGGACATGTACCTGTTGCAGATTGGGACTGCCAAAAGGATATCCTCGACATGGGGAGCACACACGGGCTTTAGCGTGGGAATAGTCACTTGGGTCTGTAATTGCCTCCAGCAAAGCCTTGGCTTCTTTGTCTATGATGGATATGTCCTTGCTAGATTTTTTGTTGGCTATCAGTTGGGTTAGTCTGGGGTGTTCAGTTCCATTTTGAGCTGCATTATGTGCAGTGAGTCATGTATCCCTTCTGAGTCATTCAAATTGGTAGAATTTTCTTGACCAGGTCATCTGATGCCGAGGTTGAAAACAGGAAAATTGCGACAGCAATTTAGGGGCTACTGCGGACACCAAGGCCACCGAGTCTGACTGGAAGAGTGACCTGTTTCCACTGACAGTTACTAAGGGAGAAGTTGATGATTTCTTTAAAGCATTGAGTCATACCGTTATCCGGTACAAACGGTACCAGATAACGACATCACTACCGAGTTCTTCCCCCCCCCCACCACCTTACCCAGTGTTTGATTACCAACAGACTCCCATTATTCCCATGTTTTTTCCCTTATGTTTGATTACTTCGCCTAACCTCTTCACACAGCATCACTTCTTCCACATGTTTATATAAGAAAAATTTGCACCATGTGCATTATCCCAATCGAAGATCACATTCACTTAAAAAAAATTCTATAACTTACGGACTATTCATGCCCGTGCTACCTGTTGGGTGGGTTAATCTTCATCAGTCATCAATATTGTATATTCATTCCTTACAAGATGTTCCTGAGTGGAACAAAACTGAAGAAAATAAAACCTTTAATAATCACTAGAGTTTATTTACAGTGAATTTCGGTAGCTTTGACGCTCTTCTTTAATTC